TCCCGCCGCCGTTCTCCATCTACCCCCGTTTTCTCTTTACGCGTTACCTCGCTTGCGAAAGTTTCGATCTTGGGTGCTTCACCCCTTTTAATACGATTACCAGCCGATGCGAGGCCGCTCGCGTTGCGCTCCAAGAGCCCGAGTTCGCAGAGACCGTAGCAGCATCCGCCTCAAACACGGCGCAACGCGCCGCCCTGGAATTCATTTCGGTTATAGGGCAATTCCGCGAGTCGTTGGCAATTTACGAAAACTCGCCGCTTCCCGCGCTCGACGCGTCATGGCGCCCGCGCCGCGCCGCGCCGCGCCGCACCGCACCGCGCCGACCGACCGATCCGCACCTGACGCAGATCTGACAAAAAGTTGCGTGGGGAAGCTCGCGAGCGCTATTGCTCGTCGGATTATTCGACGGCGCCTTATTTATGCTCGCGTGCTTATATATAGGTGAGTTTCCGTACATATGAAATGATCCTCTCTGTGCGACTTTGGGTTACCTCGAGATCCCGAAGAATGTCGTGTCCTCTTTCTTTTCTGAATCGGTTTGCGAAAAAGAGGAGAGGGACTTCTAGACGACGCGATCTTTTCCCAAGTACCTACGTACTTAGCATTCCAAGTTCGAGAGTGAGTGGGAGGAGGGCCAAGCACCGGATCTCTTGCTCGCAAATAAATGTATAATTCAAATGATGGACCTGCGAGCGGATTAATAATTGAAGGATTTGACAAGCGAGCGTAATAATATATATGCAGCGTAATAACGTATAGTGTCTAATGACGCCGCGAGAGGCCGCGCACCTGGTCGATCTTTCGTTAATCCGATCGATGCTCGCGGAAACGGCCAACGCGGAAAAGGCGGTCTCGTGGCGGTCTCATATCCGCATACTGGAAACCAATAACTTTTGTTTACCTCCGCGAAGTATTACTTTATTACACCTCGGCAGCCCGATTTTACTATCCGCCGCGACTTTTATTGCCGCGGAAGGTCGCGTTCGATTCCGGAGTCAAAGTTATACGTGGGTATCTCGAGAACAAGCAATCGCGGATCGCACAAACTACCTTCGGATCGCGGGGAGAGCGGGGCTCCGCGGTCTCTTAAAAATGCAGATCCCCCCGATCGGGGTTGCAACGGAGGCAGTGCGTCGCGCGCGCAAACGACACACGATTACGCAGCCGCCCGCGTTTTAGGTGTCTCAGCGACGGCGGGCAAGTTTGATTGCCGGCGGCTGCAATTTGCGCGGGACGTCAAGATCGCGAAGACTGCCGTCGCGAGAACGGCTCGATACGGTGCGGGGAACGCGCTCGAGATCCCGAGATGCGTCGCGCGCTCCGCGAAAAACTCGGCGAGAAAAGTTTTTATTTCGGCGGCCGCGAAATCGACTTTCTCCCCGTCGTCGCGTTCTCGCGTCAGCGCCGGCTCGACGACGCCCGTCGTTTTCCATCCCGTCGTAGCCGACGTCGTCTTTACCATCCCGCACGCCGTAAAACAATGTCGACGTACGAATCCGCGAAAGAGGTTTACGAACTTCCGAGCGCTCACGAAAGTACGTTATTCCCGACGAATGGAAACGTGTCAGGCGCCACCACCGCGACGCGTCGCGCAATATTTCGTCGTGTGTAATCGCCCCCTGATTTATAGAACACATCTGTGGGAGATGCGTTTCATAAGCATCCTGATTTACCGGCGATCTGACCTGATTTATCGACTTCCTCTCCGTGTCTCCTCTGGGTGATCTTAAGTTACGTTTGCGCTCGCAAGTGAAACACTCGTATAAGCATCCCCTCTTTGAATGTCGACAACCAAACCGCGGCTCACAGCAATAAATACCCACTTTTTACATGTACGTCTTGTTAAAGCTCGAGGAATATGCTCCTGCAATCGGCTCGATCTATTCTGCCTCTGCCTGATACATCACTAAAGCTTATATGTATAATATAGTCTCCCGTGTGTTATATTATGCATGTTGCTGTGTATATTATACACATCCGCTTGTATCCCTTTTCTTTCGTATGCGTTTAAATATAAAAACATCGGATATTTTTACAAGCGAAATCGTGTTTACATTACGAGTTGCGTCGAATCTCGTGAACGTGGTGAACCGGCTTAATATAATCTGTCCATGTGGGCCCATCGTATCAATTAGCGAGATGCATTAATTATTCATGTGTGTACCCGTGCCGTGCCGGGCCCGTGATCGGGCTTCGGTGGCGAGGAGTTTACAGATGCATATTTTTTAATTCTTCCAAGACTGGTTTAGTGAAAGTAGAGAAAGAAAGAACACGAAAGTCGACGATATATTTACGAGGTGTTCATAATATGTGTCCTGGGTTCCATCTGCAGTGAAAAGAATTAATCTAATTAAACGAATACATTAAACGAATCTGAAGTTTTTATTGCTCGAAATAAGCTGCGCGAGCAGAGCGGTCTCCTGTCGCTAATACTGATATGGCGAAATCTTCTCGAAATTCCGCAGGAAAACGTGCTCGTGCTGCCGGAAGAAAAAGCTTTTCTTGTATCTTCTTGCATCGCATGCCGCTGCATACACTAACTTCTGGGTAGTAACGGTAAATGCAAGAAGGAACTAGTCCGTGGCGAGGGTAACAAGGACCGTATAGCCACAGAATTTTCCATAAAGCTGTCGGCGTGCGTTTCTCTCGTGGTCGCGCTTCCGAAGCTCACGCTCGTAGAGCGGTAGCGAGGTAAAAAAGAAACGAGAGAAACAAAGAGAGAGAGAGAGAGAGAGAGAGAGAGAGAGAGAGAGAAGGGGGAGAGAGGGGAGAGGGAGAAAAGAAAAAAAGGAACAACAAAAATGCAGTATTTATAAAGAATCCTAACGACTCCGTAATTAGTGTAATTACCGCCGGTGCCGTGTCTTGCGCGGTCTTAATGCTCGCGTCACTCGAAATACTCTCCGTAATTCCTTCTAATGTATCTGCCGGCGAAAAAGGGACGGAAGCAGGGAGCCCCTCGGCCCAGCAGTCGCGCGAAGTAAGGAGAGAGGACCTACGGCGCTGCGACATTGCCTGCAGTATCTAGATCGAAGCTGTGCCGGTTGCGAACGAAGTAGGATCCTCCTCAACGATTGCCAGCGAGAACGGATTACCTCTAATCTCTGACATTAGCTCCCGCTCTGCATCGACCGTACTTCGCGAACGTGAGCGCGCGCGCGCGCGCTCTTACGAGAATATGTCTCCATTTACTTTCTGCTCTTTTTCTCGGCAGCTCGCTCGCGAATACCCGAATAAAAAGGATGACGCGGATAAATCTTGACGTTGCTTGCCAGCGGGCTGCCAGTGGAAATCTTTGGGAAACTGCTAATTATGAGAGGGGACTTGGCCAGCGGCTAAATACACACGTCTGGTTAATCGGATGTGACAGCCGTTGGGTCCACGAGGTTAAGGGAAAATACATTCGTCCGTGTTTATTTTCGTTCGAGCACAAATCGATATAAACGTATCGATCGTACGTAGTAGATTTTCAGTATTCGACGACTAGACGTTGCTACGAAATTAGAAATTAAAGAACTCGTCAACGCGTCCTAATTTTCTTATTCATTCGATTTATAAATCAACGAGAGCCGCGCTGAATATTTTAATGATTTCAGCAGAAAGCTGTTCGCACACGGAATTATACGGTTTCTCTCCTCCGGTGACATCTCTATTTTCTACTTCCATAAAAGTGAATTGAGAGCGGCGAACAATACGTCATCGGCTGAGTTAATACCCGCCTGCGCTTTGAACTATGCACGCTCAGCGGGAATATTGGATCCCTCAGTGCGGTAAGTCCAATTAATTCTCAAGTAAGGAAATTAGGACTACGACTGTGAAATGGCGCCCGGTTCTCACAACGCGCTCAACGAGACGTTGCTAATTGTCGCCGTATGGTTACCGATTTATCGCCCCGGACGAACGCGCTGCCGACATCTAAACTGTAAGTAAAAGGGCAATTACCGGTTGACCGCGGCAAATAAAGCAACTAGAAAGGAGTTAAACGCAGGTGGTTGTTATGGTGTTAGGTAACGCGCGTCGCCGCGGATTCAAGTGTGTATCGCCGCACGAGTGTATTGTTGCTTTCCGCCGGAATAATCGCACGGAGATTACGAAGCAATTTCTGAAAGAAAATCTTGCTTTCGTCGTTTTGTACATTTATAAAGAACTTGACGACGGATGTTCTTTGACGGAGTTACATCGCGCGTTCAATGACTCGAAATCAATCAAATGGCTTGAATATAAGATCTTACTTACGAAAGTAAATGCGTTATTACGTACAGAGATATACACGTAATTCGTTAATTTCTAGAACCGTCGCTACAACGAAAAAAGATTCTTCATCGAAGGATCAAAATGATCGTAATTTTGTATCCTTTTATTTCTTTATCGCAAGCGCAGTGTCCGATAAGATTGTACGATCTGAGGCATGTCCGTGAAACAGTCTCGCGCTCTATATGTGCATCGGACCGTTGTATGCTGGACGTTGACAATAATCGTGATACGTGGAAGTGACATTTCCAGATATCCAGTAAAAATATCATTGATGATAACAACGCTACAAGTGCAGTTCAATTAACAGAACTTGCTATCAAGACCGACAATGAAACGCGCTAACAAACGCGCGGACAGGAACGTTATTTTAACTTGAGCTCGCGCCGACGAATATACATTCGTTATAAATCTCATTTTATTTTTACAAGTCCACACGTTCCTGACTTATATCACATACTAGTATGTATAATTGCACGTATAAATCACCGAATTACTTTCGCGCAAGTATTAAGAAATCCGGAGCCGTGTTAATTATACAAATTTTAGACATGATCTGTGTTAAAAAGTGGATGCTATCCGAGTTGCTTATGCATATTCCGCGCAACGGATTCGCCCGGTCAAACTCAACTTTCCAGCGACTTCCAGCGCTGAATGTGGTCAGTTACGTCAGAATTTTGGGAATTTAGAAGGGGATCTGTGTAGTCCAGATCAGAGGGCGTGTTACAGCGACTATCCAGTGAAAGTAGTTTCATGAGTATAAAAACCGTGAAATCGATGACACCGAGCACACTCAGGCTTACATCTTCTCATACTACGTTCGCTATGAAGACGTTTCTAGTGAGTAGTGAAGTTTCTCGACGCGAATCCCCTGATAAACGGCGCAAAGCCACGAGTGCCGTGTGAAATTTGAGCGCGAGATCGTCGCGACGACCGAGTCGCGATACTAGATTGAAAAGCGCAGTTGTGTACAACCGTTCAACTCGGACAGTTGAACTATTCCATTATATCGCATCTGTTCCTTCTTCTCTCTTCATCGGCAGATAAAGCCGATCGTAACGCGCTTGAGCGGTTGCTCCATTTTGACTGCAACACGTACATTTTTATTTAATCTTTCTACCTTGTTTGCACATTGATTTTTTAGTTAATCCTTTAACGGTTTCAAATATTTGCACCAAGTACACATATCGGTGTACACTTGCTCGGGCAAGCGCTTGTTACAGGTCACGGGGCGGCGCGATTGTCCCGGATTAAACTTCAACACAACTGTGCGAAGCGGTCGCGGCTATTTTTGCGACAACACGCGCATTATCCACACACTTTCTTCCTCCGTCGATAAACGACTAACGACGCGTCTGTTCATCTCTAGGTTTTGCTGCTGGCCGTCTCCGTGCTCGCCGGAGATGCACCAGCAACGGAGAAGAAACACGCTAAACGCGGCCTCCTGCACGGCGCGGGATCGATATACGCGGGTGGATACGCGTCGGGCATCATCGGCCATGGATACGGATACGGTCACGGGATCGGCCACGGGATCGGAGGCGGCGGACTCTTACACCATGGTGGTATCGGCGACATCCATCTGGGCTACGGACACGGTTACGGCCACGGGTACGGCCACGGGTACGGCCACGGGTACGGCCACGGGTACGGCCATAACTACGGCCACGGCTACGGCCACGGCTACGGCCACGGCTACGGCCACGGCTACGGCCACGGCTACGGCCACGACTACGGCCATGGCTATTACCACCACCCGCATACGCACGTGGTGAATCGCGTGGTGCCGGTGCCGGTGCCGGTGCCCCATCCCGTCCCGGTAACGCGCAAGGTGCCCGTGCCAGTGCCGCATCCAGTGCCCGTGGAGGTAAAACGCCCCGTGCCCGTTCCGGTGCCTCATCCGGTGCCGGTGATCGTCACCAAGGCTATACCCGTGAGTGTGCCGCGTCCGGTCCCGGTGCCGGTACCCCACCCTGTCCACGTGCCCCATCCAGTCCCGCAACCGATTCCGGTCCCGCAACCAATTCCGGTGCCAATCCACGCGCACGCGCCCATCCACGTGCCGGCCCCCTTGCCTCTGCATCTGCCGCCGGTAGCTGGTCACGGACTATCGATCCACGACTCGTACCCCGGTCCGTTGGGTCATGAAGCCATCGCACCGATCGATGCCGGCATCCACGGCGGCCACGAGATCGGCGCTATCGCGCACGGCGAGCATGCCCACGCTTTCGCCGGTTCAGACATCCACCTGAACGCTCACGCCGAGTCTGAGGGATACTCGTATCCAGTACCAGCGAAGAAATTCCTTTAAGTCGCGTCGAGAGATTTGCCGTTTTGCGAGCGACGTCTTGATTCGCACGCCGACGCGATACATCTGCCGTTTTCGAATTTTCCCGGATATAACGCGGCTGGCTCATAGCCGCTCATGCCGCATATATTTGTCCCGCGTTTCACTTGATATTTATATGGATTCTCGCACGCAGCGGCGCGGGCGACGGCGACGACTGCTGCTGCTGTTGCAACGGCAGCGGAATGTCCGCGAGGTCTCGAGGCCTCGATTAAAATTCCACCTAAAACCGCAACGAAACGAAAGGGATAATGCGCGCGCGCGCGCGCATACACACATCTACACGCATACACACGAACACACGAACACACACACACACACACACACACACATGCGCGCGCGCATATATATATGTATATGTTTACTTTCGCGCGCTCAACGGTGACGAAGGAAAGAAAGAGTGATGCGTTTCGAGGGCGTGAAAGTAACGCGATACGAAGTCCAGGGAGATGAATAATCTCTTGCGGGACGTGTGATGCGGGGGGGAGATGCGAAATACGAGAATCTATTGAATACTTCCTGTTATGGTAATACAGCGTATAAGCGGGAGAGAACCGCTAACAATTTTCTCAAGATGTATCGCTTGCACGTTTACAGCTGAATTGCGTTCCCGGCGCGGCGGAATGATACGATCATACGCGCGAAATTGTTTGTAACTGTATTTATTCGTCTATTGAGGCGCGTAAAGATGTACAAAAGAGAGAGCCTATTCGCACCGCTCATTAGAGAAATTCTACAATTCGTGAAAGTGAAAATAAAGCCCGGATTTTGTCCGATTTTGTTAATTTAAGATTGCCCATTGATTTAATCGACCCACACTCGTGCCTCCGACACAATATATCCCTTTCGAGTCGAATCTTCTCATAAAGAGGTAATAAAGAGGTTCACGCGATGCGAACCTGCGAGTTCGAGATACGCGAGTAGATTTACCCCGATTCGAAAGTGATTAAAGTTGCTGCCTCCTTACCCGCATCGCATCCCAAATTGCCGAAACTTTGACCTTGTGCTTTAGCACACAACCACATAACCGTTTCGCACCGCCCTCGGCTGTGATCTCGGCTCTACGCTGGGCTGGGATGCCCGATTCTGCCCGATGCCGTCCCTAACTCGCATTACGCACTCAGACGAGTCGTACGGAAAAAAGGGGGATGAAAAAATCGCGAAGCAATTGAATAACCGAGGAACGAAGAAGTAAGCGCGAAATGCAATACAGCATGGGAAAGAAATTATTTCAAACTGGATATATATATATATCGTTTACTATTTGTGCAAAGTACAGAATATGCTTGCGTTTCGTACTTTCATCGTTTGGAATAAACGCACCCATTTCTGTTTTCCGCTAAAATTGTTTCAACTCCAACTTCACTCATATAATCCCCTATCATATCGCTTGTTTTACTTTCCCCTTTTATCGAGCCACGCCACGCCACGCCACGCGAGTCGAAATTAATTCAGATTACCTCGATTCAACCGCACGCACGCGGCGCTTGCGGACGCTAGCGTTCTATCGACAGTGTCTTCATGTTTAGCAAACCTCTCCTGCGTCTCGCATAGAAAAACCTGGCAGGTTGTATACTTTTTCAGTTGCCTACCGTCATCTTCGTAATGGTATCTCTCTAGTCGTAGAAGACGTACGTGCCTCGCTCACGGCGCAGAATCCTACCCTCCGAATCCGAGGTAAGCTATTAGACCGGCCTGACGTATATAGGGTCTCTCAAAATCACTGTATCTTAATAACAAAGTGTAAACAGCTGTTCCAGATACGTGCCAATAATTTTGCTTTCCGAGGCCGAGACAACATAGGTCAGTCTGTGATCATCGAAGATCTTTTCACAGAGCAAGATTGCGCGAGACGTGGCGCGTCATCAAGAAATGAAAAATAACTTAAATTAAAGGAAAATTGTCGAGATACCTGACAATGGAATTAGATACAGTTGAGAGATTAATTATAATTCATGGTGAAATTTCTAGGAGAACAGTCCCCTCGCAAGCGTGAGAGCTCAACAAGGATAATGTAATTGAAACACGCAATTTTGATACATCCTGTACACTTGGCTACGTACAAGCACGCCGCACGTGTGCACGCAGGTTTCCCTAGAAAGCTCCACATGCTCTGCAAACACACCCGCATGTACTTATGTACGTATGTATGCGCTTTCCTCTTCCCTTCCTAGCGGAAAACCGGCAGTCACGCACTATTTTACGACTTTCGTCGGGCCTCTGAATTAACCCGAGCTTTTCCGGGTACAAGGACGGTCCTTTATGCATCCCGTCCAGAAATGAAGTGCATCCCTCCTACCTACAGCCAGGGTTACGGTGTCGTTAAACCCCCGTTCCTGATATCACCTCGAAGTCCGTTTCTTACGATTTCCAGTAAAGTAGCTCAGTTACGGAAATATGAAGATACCGCGAACTCACCACACGGAGCTGCATCGACGAAGTTAACCAACGCGACGTCCCAATTAAGTCTTTCCCATCTTTAAGTAATTTCAAAACAAACCCCACGTAGTTTTATGTCGAATAATGAATAACGCGGCAACCGCTTTCCGTCGGTTTTGTAATTATTGCAGAAGTCCGCCATCTCATTCTCTTCCCTCCAGCTGGTAGACGTTCCGTTGCACGATAGTACACGAGAAATTTATACACGAAACCGCTTGAATATTGAGCGACCTACTTCGCGATGGAACTTGTTGAACACTACACACAGATTTATAATTAACGCCCGTATACGTATGCTCATTTAAGTAATAATTAATAGAAGCAAAAGTAAAACGCGCTAACAATAAAAGAATATCATCCTCGCGTGCAACTGTAACGACTGCAACATTATTTAATTACCGGAGCGACAGCCTCGGTGAATCCAAAACGCGTGGAGCGCAGCGGGAATGGAAGCTAATTGTGAGCATTTATCTAATGTGAAGGATTTACCGACGATGTAAATTTATTCGCGAGACCCTCGCTTAATTACGCAGATTCCAAGGCATCGCTCGCCAGCGCCCTTTGCTGCGTAAGGCGCAGCCGGGAAAAACAGAAATTAGTCTCGTGTTACGAACTGTCGGGATATTCGCAGCAAGTAACGTTTTCATAGAACGGGCCTCTCGCTATCATTATCATTTATTGCTCGCTCTTTACGATCCGTTATTAAACGTATCCTAGAGCGCGGAATTCTTTTCATGGGCCACGCTTTATAGTACGCTCTTAGATACATGCCGAATAGGGCCACCGTACTTGCTGTTTACGCAAGTTTACGAGCGCCTTGAACGATAAATGTCACGAAATTATTCGAGAGTGGGCGAAGGAAAAACGCGCTAGCGCTTTCCTCTCTCTCTCTCTCTCTCTCTCTCTCTCTCTCTCTCTCTCTCTCTCTCTCTCTTCTTTTCTTTTGGGATGAAATATTGGGGCGGAGCGATAAATCGCGCATTCGCATTCGCGGAGCGCGAGTCGCGTAATGTAGCAGAACGGAGCCGAAAAATTGTCGTCGCGACAATACCGCGCCGTTGCAATCTGGACCCGGCAAGTCGCGGCACCGTAAAGCGTTAATGACACGAGATGGGAACGACTCGTCTAGCGACGGTGAATCACCGTGAAATACGGCGAGCGTCGTCTATTTAATTACAATATCGTAACCTACCTACCTATCCACCTACCAACCCAACGTCCACCTGGCAGCGCGAACGAGCGAACACGAGATCGGACTGCGACACGAAGCGAAGCGCGTGTCAGAATCTTTTCCCTTGGATTTTATATCGGCAGTTAACGCGGCTGATATATGCGCATAACGCTTATAAAGCTATGCGCACTGCTGTTTTTTTTTCGAAACGGCTGTCCGCCTTAAGCTCGACCGGCTCGTTCGGGTTTTATGTTTGGGGCGCGAACCCGCTATTTACGATGGCTATTTCGCAGCATCAGGTCGCGGCGTTTTCTTCCTCGGTTGCAGTCAAACGAATCGGCAGTTAACGTCGATATTTTTGAGCACTTTGGCTACTCGACCTCGGCTAGCGGAAATTTACTCTCTCTCTCTCTCTCTCTCTCTCTCCCCCCCCTCTCTCTCTCTCTCTCTCTTCTCCTCTCTCTCCCTCTTTGTCTCTCTCTCTCTCTCTCTCTCTCTCTTTTTTTCCTCCTTTTTTTTTATACCGCGACGTCGACCTCTCAGAAGCGGCGGATCACCGCTACTCGCAGCAACAACGACAGCGCGAAGCCGCAGTTCTGGTTGCAGCATCGCAGGCTGTGTTCGGCCGTCGATACGGCTCGCCGCGAACAGGAAGCGCTGTTTTATTGGTTGTTTTGAAACGGTAAAACACGCCGTAAACACGCCGTCACTGTACTCGTAAACAATGAAACGGCGTCCGTATGAAAGTTACAGGATTAAATGCCAGACGGAGTATCGATTAGAATTTATATCGTTATACCGGTACGGAATATTGTGCCGGCGACGTGAAGATGATATATCGTCCTCCGTCCTCTCTGCAAAAACAATGAAGCGGAGGACGAATGGCAAGGGCGTTTCGCGAGTTATTTTCTATCCAATTTTGGAGCTACGCTAAAAAATCGTATATACGTCGCGACTTGTGCCGGAGGACGATGACATATAATAATGTTCCAAGTTGTTTCGGTATTCATCCTCCTTTCTTGCCTCCTTCTCTCAGTTAATAACGGCAATAATGTCGCAACTTATGGTAAATGATACCAACTATTATAATTTTGCAAACACGGATGTATAATACTAAAGTACCTCAGTATCTATTAGTTACTTCGCTACATTCAAGTCGAAAAGTTTCGCAAAGATTCACAAGCGTCTTGCATAATAAATGATTCGACATACCTAAGAATCACGTATGCGCTGCTGACCGTGTCCTCTGCTGCATCTTCTGTCCCGATGAGGGTTAAGTTAGGTTAGGTTAGGTCCTGCTCCCGCGACTTCTCCGAATATTCCACCGCGATACTGACACTGACACTGACGCTAAACCTCACACTCGCGTAGATACGACGATTCGATAAAAAGATGCAAATGCTAATTAGCGCGATATCAACGAGAGTTTGATTAGATATAATGAGTCTATGGGAGTGATATCTAACCGCACCGCATACTTGTGTTACGCGTCGCGATATGTGTCTGATTCATCGGTTCAATATGTAATAAGGTATTCGGTACTCATTCGGGAACATAACTCGTATACGCGCGACGTTAGAGAATACCAGATCAATCGACAAAACGAGCCAAGTCTTAGATTAATCGGTAACATCGTTACTTACTACCCTGAGTGGCCGCCAAACCAAAACTACGAACACTTTTGAAAATATTCGGTTCTGACCATCAGGGCCGTTACACATGTGGTACTTATCAGGGGCGTAACACGCGTGGTGCTTAAAAAAGTGCCCGAGTGAAAATTTAAAATCTATCACTCTTGTCCTCTACAAGACTCCTTCCTCTTTATTCCCTCCAAATTGTCACAAGTCCTATTCAGAGATTTTCTACACCACTAAAAAGTAAAAAAAAAATTATGGAAAAAGAAGTAATGTTATATCGTATTATTTATCTACATTAATTTTTTTAATATCGGCTTATAGTATACATAATCTCTTCGTATTTAAATAAGCTACATAAATAATAAATTGCGGTTAAGAAATTGAGAATAAAGATCAAACGTGGATGAAATATTGTGATATTAAACAATTTCAAAACAGGTCTTTTTTACACTCCTCCCCTCTCAACATGGAGAAAACAATGTGATTTGTGATATCAAAGAACAACAGTTTACATACAATATTATATCTCGAAATTCTTCACTCAGATATGGTAGAAATTGCAATGTTAATGCAAAACCAAATTTTCGTATACTTTCTCTCATTTGAGGATTCGTGTCGTATTTAACGCAAGATCCTTTACCGATATATAGGTGCAAATTACAAATTCATGGTGGCGTCATGTCTTGTCAACGCACCGATTATAGATAAGGCAAGTACCTAACCAGCGTCCGACAAGACCCTACGTTTATCCTACTCTGTATGCGGTAACCGTTCTCGCTCGGAGGTCATGCTTTATCATACTCAGCGGACAGTCGTCGGAATGCTAATCTTCCATACCCTTATTCATAGAATTAATGACTCGTTAATGACTAATGTTGCAATTTGATTTATGCTATTATTCGCGCCGGCGCGGACGCGGGCGCGGGCGCGGGGGTAAATTCTTTCATAAATAACGGAAACGACATTTACAGCCGCGGAACGAACGTAAAATATTATTGCAACGCGACATATAACAACTCCAATCTCTTTTTTGTCCCGACAACACTCTCTCACATGTGCTGATTACATTCGACAACCGTTATTAAAATATTTGTGGGTCATGATAATGCATCTGACTGCATGTCCGGCGGCTACGCGAAATTTTCGTTGTGCGAGTAAAATATTTTAATAGGATCCATCATTTGTGCCAATTGACATTAACAACGAATTGAAAGAGACTGTTAAAATTCGCCATAATTTTCTTCGGCCGTTATAATCAGGAATATCCGAATATATCTCTGAGAATTTTATTATACGGTTATAAATATTTCGGTCGCGTAAAAGAGCTGACGAATGATGAAAATATCTCGCGGCTCCATAATAATTCGCGGAGTATCGCGGAAACGAGTTAATATATTGACAGGTGACTCGTCTTCCGATCTCATCCCTCTGCTTCGAAAGCAAATTACTCGACCAAAGCGAGGAAATAGCGAGGGTTGCATTGAAAGGGTCCTTCCTGTCCACGACACGCGATGTCATATCACGTTATTGAGAGCTACTTGTCACTCCCTGCTTTGCCGTCACGGCAGGACGGGTACGTCCATGCCGATCATTCAATTAATTCGGACCTCACGCACATATCGGTGATCATATCGTTCGTAAGCTTCTAGCGCGACTAGCATTGTCATTTAACGGAGATTTTACGAAATAGTGCTCGCCATCGGTTTTCCTGTGTTCATGCCGTTTTAAAAACCGCATCGCAATATATATTTTATGCAAATCGTTGGAAACTTAACGCAATATATATTTGTTAATTCCTTATTCATTTCTATAATTGGTATTTACGGGAGGTATCATATATACGTATTACGTTACTAGTACGACAGCGTGAGAGACTAAAAGTTTCACCGGACGAAATCTTTATAAGCGTGATGATTTGATGTAACATAATACAATAATATTATAACATAATATAAAAGAGCGTCGCGCAAAAATATCTCAACGAAACGTTTCCATTTTTCTCACCACTAGGCACCGTCACTCGAAAAACGCGCTCTACCGCGCACTGTTGATTTCTAAGTCTCTTTTGTTCTGGAGAATCATGCGACCGGCCCTTTGATCATGAATGAACAATTATCTTAGATAGTGCTCCGGCCTTTTATGTTATTCAATATGCGAGTGTGTTCCCATCGTCGCCTTACATATCGATGCTTTCAAGGGAAGCTGCCCTCCGAGGATACTCGACGACTGCCTAGAAAAGGGGAAGAAGTGACCATCCACATGTGGGTCCTCGAACTATCGTCGCTTCTATCGCATTGCACAGTCCGACGCGGTCCAATTTTGTTCGAGCGTAATATAATAGCACGGAGCTAACGTGCCGGCCATTTGAGTGGCAGCGTGTTGCAGATTATTGGCCTCGTGGGTCACGGGCTTCACGCCATTGCCGTTAGGTGTTCATTTATAAATGCCACAATCTCTGACAAAGGCACTGATTACGATCCTCACGGGTAGTCATCGAATACTGACTCTTCTTCAACAACCGTAGTGCTTTCCTAGTGCGATCACGAGAGTGTTCGCAGTGACAGAGAGTCAACGCGAGTTCTCCTGCGAGTTCTTCTTTTCGCGCGCTGTTATAACAAAAATTAACGCCGTGTTAAATAGTGTTACGAGCATTCGTCAAACTCTGCAGCCGGACAATGTTATTCTCTCTGTTTTGGTTTAAATTGCGCACCGTCCCTAACGGTTGTTTACCAATGTACACATGTTCACGCTCGCGGTCTTCCTTCGAATTAATTATTCTTAATTAATTAATCTGGGTCTAAACGTCGAGCAATTTATTTGAACGACTCGTTTACATTCTGTGTGTTACTTTCATTGTATCATATCGCAAAGAGATAGTAATCCATGAGACATATATTAATTTCGTGATGACGCGCATTGAAAGTACAAACGCGCACGCGTGAAGATACGCGGTATAATTATTTTCGAAGTTAAATGGACAAGAGTTATCGCAAAATTAAGCAACTCCCTCGTCGCTGTTCGTTATCGCTTATTCTATTAATCACGCGCGAAGGTTTATTGCTCTCTGTGAATCCTCGTATCTATTCTCTCGCGAGTTTGATCTATTCCCGAGTCTTTTCTCTCATTTTCACGTATTATCATTCATAAATTACATTGGCAAACATTTTTATACTTTTATCGCCCAGATGCGCTCATCGCTTGCTCTACTTTACACAGCGTACTGACTTATTCATTTTTTCATTCTCGGCTGCTCATTCCGAGGAATTATTATCTCCACACATCACATTGTGAAAGTTTATATATTATAATTGTGTATAATTCCCCGAATGTTATTACACTCGTTTTATGCATTTTCATTATGCTTATGCGCGTGATGCAAATATTATTACACGAGTTATTTAAGCTGCATTTTTGTGTAGTATTTATGTACGTATTACGATATAATTAAATATACTAAAGATTAATTATCCTTATCGCGCGTCTTATTATTCTGAATATACACATATGTATATATATATATATATATATATATATATATACAATAACAATGAACAAAAATACATACGAGATATATCTAATATGCTAATTTCATTCTGTTAAATTGCCATCAACTTAGTCTCAAACGTTCCTCGGTCGTCATTCGCGATCCTACAGAGTTAGGAGAAATTTGCATCAGAAGGACGACATTAAAACGCTTCTCTCCGTTAAAACATCTCTTCCGAACGTCAACAAGAGCCCGGGGGCGCCCGGCATTGTTATCTGAACGTAAAAGTATATCAGACGAGGGAAATAGAATCTCCAGGATGAGACAAGCGCTGACGCGAGTCTTCCCATTCGGAATTGAGATAAAGTGCCCTCTGTGAGTTCCACCATCTCAAATTTCGCGGAGAAAGATCCGACGTAACGGGTGCAGGTCAGGTTTTCCGAGTCCCGATATGCGCCGCATCGCTCCATCCGAGAGACCGGTCCATCCTAACGACTGTTGCATTCTGATGCAGCGGCGCGTCGTCCGCCGCCGGTACTGTCGCCCGCTAGCCGACGACATCGCACGTTGCGCGAGTAGTGGGTGATCTCGGGAATGTGGCGATGGTGGGGGAAAGACTAGACTAGCTGCGGCGCGGCGGCGGTGGCGGCGCGGCGGTGGCAGCGGCAGCGGCGGTGGGGGAAGCTCGTGAAAAGCAGACGAGTGGGGTTCCCTCTGGTGAGTGTCTCGTGTCAGTTGAGCCGTGTGCCGCGTCGTGGTAGGTCGTGTGGTAGTGTTGCGTCTCGCGTTGTCTCGCCGTATACATCGACGATGACGTCTTCCTTGTGACTATGAGCGATTCGCGCTCCTGACGAGGACCATCGGGCACGTCGTACACCCGTCGTCGCCATCGTCGTGTCGTCGGCGTCGTCGGCGCCGTTTTTCCCTCGACCGGGGGGAACGCCGGTCGCGTTGTACGTGTGCCGCGGTGGTGCGTGTACGACGGTGCGTGGACTTTACTCGCTCGTCATCAGCCTTTTCTTCACTCGGACGCACACCGGCCGGTCGTGGTGCGCCGGTGAATCGTGTGAGACGCAAACTTCCGCGACGCTCGCCGTCGCTGTTGTCTCGATCGAACGCGAACGGAGACCGGTGCAAGTCGAGACGTGCAAGTCGGAGCAAGTTTTCGTATACGACGTGAACTTTGCCGATTGTCGTGTCACTGTCTCGATAAGAAGCGCGTGCGCGCGCGCGCGCGCGCGCGTGTGTGTGTGTGTGTGTGATTGGTTAGAGAGACGCGCACCGTTGGTACGTGTTTACGACGTGACTCGTTGTTCTGTGTGAAAACTGATTATCAGCAATTCGAAAGTGATCGCAAAGCGAAGCGTCTTCCTGTTGCGGAACCGCCGTATTTTTCGACCAGTGTTCCGATCGATTTGTACATCTCGGGCGTCCTTGCGCAAGGGGAAACTTCAACGCGTGGAATAGCCGGTGGTGTGGCGTCGCGCGAGTGACTGTACAAGATTCTGCGTGCAGTAGGTCAGGCTGCGTTTCTCGGAATCGGACGCCATTTCCGAGAAGTCGGCCGAGTTACGTTCCTGGAATCGGCTCGCCGTGCTGCGTTTCGGGAGCGAATAGTCGCGCTTCAGCCGGTGAGTTACACTTCACCTAATCGTCGCGACCTGTTCTCGGTGCAATATTTGTCAGAGACGAGAATAACTAAAATCGCGCTCTCGTCAATCCGTCGTCATGGATATCAAGTTGATGTGATAGTGAACACGAACACGTCGTCGCGAGTTTCAAGGTCCCCCCCGAAGGTGACGATCGGTCGTGGGATCGCGCTCGCCGCCCGACTACATAACCGAGTTTTGTGCTGCCCGACGACGCTGCTCGAGGTACACCCTCGCGGAGATTTCGGTGTCGATTTCGATCTGGCGTTAACCTTGCCACAACCGTCTTCCATCTGACGCGCTCTACAGCCGCTGAAGAAAAAAGCCCGTCGTTCGCGAAGTCGAGCGCGCGCGCGCATCATTCTTAAACCTGCAACGTGGACCGCCACGAGATCTGCCCTCCGCCGGATCTCTCGAGTTTCTCGAAACGGACAAGACTGGCAGGTCATCTCCGTAGCTCGTCGTCACCGCGTAGTGCGCGCAACGACACGTCTTGCGGAAATTGCGCCCCGTTTTCTCATCGATCATCGATCTCTCGCGACCCTGTCGCCGTCGACGACGACGACGCCGACGACGACGACGCCGACGACGCCGACATTGCTCGCAACGACTGACGATCTCTCGCGAACGTGCGGTAAAACGAGGTCGTTCTGTCCTTTTCTCTCCTTCAAGTACATTTCGTCAAGATCGTCGCCAGTTCGCGTGTCAATCTCGGAGCTTCATTTCTCTTCGCGTAAATAGACACTGTAAAGCCGGAATAAGTGATGCAGATCTGAGTGGCAGCGTGCCGGATTCGGTCCTACGAGGTACATCCGAAGGGTGCAGCGCACAAAGGACCCGGAGCGCGTCCGGATTTATCGAGATACGCTCGAGGCGGCTGCTGTCGTGTGGCGCGTTTGCTGGGAAGAGCCGAGTGGTCGTTCTAAATTTTTCCCCCAGATCTTCCGTCGCATATCCGTATTTCTTTCTCTCTCTCTTTCTCTCTCTCTCTCTCTCTCTCTCTCGCGCTCTCGCTCTCTCTCTCTCTCTCTCTCGCTCTCTCTCTCTCTCTCTCTCTCTCTCTCTCTCTCTTTCTCTCTCTCTCTGTGTCTCTCTCTTTCTTCCTCCCGCTCTCGCACCGCGTGAAATAGAACAAGATTCGACCGGTCGTTTGCCCTGCAGCTCGTCACGGCTGCTGCTCCGCCTTCGCATTTACCCGAGGATCTGTACGCTCGGAAACGGACGAGAGAGAAGCGCTATAAAAACTGAGACATCGACCGGACGATCGTATCAGCGGCGACAAGCGTCGGTTCTCCGACTCGAATCGTCCCCTCCCGTACTCGTACATCTCGTAATGAGCCGAAGAGCGGTACATGTCAAACGGCGAACGTGACCGCCGCAAATCGCCGCTCTCGCCGCGCCGCCGCCGCGTGTCCCAGGGTCGTCGGTCCCGAGGCGACGCTCGTTAAAGACCGCAGTCGATTGTGCGCGCCAAGAGCCGAGAATGTCGCGCTAAAGAAGCATAGGTCCGATTTATTCGAAACGGCGAAACGCTCCAGCCTGGATCGGACTTTGGACGATTCGCGCGCGCGCGCGCGCGCCTCGATGGATGTTGTTACGTCGTGTGGAAGGTGGCCTCGCGGGATGGTAGGTGGAAGGTAGCTGCCAGGAACGGCGGATAAAGGAACGCACGCGGAATCGTCGAACGCGAGGAGCTGTGGGGAGAGAGAGAGAGAGAGAGAGAGAGAGAGAGAGAGAGAGGGAGAGAGAGAGGGAGAGAGAGAGAGAGCGAGAGAGAAACGAGAGGTGAAAAAAGGCAGCGCAGAATAACGAGGTGGGAGAAGGGAAGGAAGGACGGGCGCGTGTGTGCGAGCGAAGAAAAGAAAGAGTCGAAGAAGCGCGGGCGGGGGCGTAGCCGGGCCTACGCGAGCGCAACGAGATAGAAGAAGAAAGAAAGAGAGAGAGAGAGCGAGCCGAGATGACCATGGCGAGCAACATCGTGGTCGAGTGGCTGCGGTCGCTCCCCCTCGGCCAGTACTCGGAGTCATTCATCGACAACGGCTACGACGACCTTGAGATCTGCAAACAGATCGGCGATCCGGATCTCGACGCGATCGGCGTCTTCAATCAGACGCACCGCGCCCGCTTATTGCAATCGGTAAAGACCCTGCGCGAAGAGGGTGCCGCGAGTGTATATTTCACGCTGGAGGAGACGACCGACTGCATCAATTGCGACAATGTCAGCTCCAAGTCGTCGAGAACGTCGTCCGAGAGACCACCCAGCGATAAGGAAGTGCAACGCGCGTCGCCCACGGCCAGCTCTTCCAGCGGCGGTCAGGAACTGACGAAGTTCGCGGACGAGTACGAGGAGGGCAAGGCCGAGCTGGTGAGAATTCCCAGGATGCAGCTGAGGATGTTGCTGCAAGAGAAGCTACGACACGACGGCATCAGGCTGGCCTGTCAGCCGTACACCACATCGGTGAGTCGATTTACTTTAGTGAGAAATTCCGTTGTGACGTTGTGGAATATCTCGAAGATAGGAGATCTCTAGCCACTGCTGAATATTGTGTAGCACAATTCAACCGCGAACTGCGATTCGAATTTTAGTTTCGCGTTAACTAAGGGAAAATTGATTCAGTAGAGAATAATTACGATTGCAATGGGAGAAAAAAAATATTACAATTTCAAACACGAGAATTTAAAGCAGCAATCCAATTCGTGGAAAATTATTAATTTAATTTCATGATTCAGAAATTTATAGTTCGCGTAATGAAAACACAATACGAAATTGCTGCCAGAGTTTGGAAATGTATATTGATAAAGCATGAAGTATTTATTAATAAATTGAAAAGTCTTTATTAATAAATTTAATAATAAATTATATAATAAATAATAAATATAATCAATTCGTCATCACTAGTATTTTATCGAAAGCATTTTCAAAAATACTTTATTGACAGTTTATAGCGTTAACTAGATATTATTTAATTGAACCTATTCTAATTTTCATAAATTATTTTAATTATGAGCAAAACATAGTACGTCCCCTTCCCCCGAGAGCCCCTTTAAGAGTTAACATATTTAAATGTATTAAACATGCGTGCACATTAAGTTTATAATATGATCTAAAGCAAACAATATAAATTATATAAATTAAATTACATATATTACGCCACGTTAATAACGAGAATAATATGCAAGTTTTATCGCGAACATGTCAAAATTAATATCGTACAAACGATACGTTTTCTCGTATAAAATGTACTTTTTGCGGTGCTCAAGCGCTGATTATACATCTTTTTCTATTGTTATCTCCCTTTTTTCAAACGATAAGATTACGCACTGCGTAATCACATACCAAGTTTTCGACCGGATAACATTGTCCGCTCTTACCTGACACCGACGTCGGTGATATGTTGTCAACATTATACGCTCCCATTTTCCTCACGTCATTCCCGTCGGCATGCACGCATCACCTTTAATACATTACGATACGTGACGCGATTAGCCACGACAATACTACTCGAATTATCGGGCCATCGAGCAGGCACTCAGGTGTGCCAGCCGCGCGAGGGGGGTACCTGAGACGGAGATAATGCTGAAAACTCACAGCCCTCACGTGGCACACGCCCTACGAGCGTAGATAATCCCCTGATTCATTATTTCGTTGCATTAGCCACCAGCTCGAGATAAGAACAAGCGCGCGGTGTTTTACCATACACGTTCTTATCCTCTTTGGTCTCACCGGTAACGCTACCGGTCATACGTTATGTCTTCACTTTTCCTACGCGCTTGAAATAATTTTCTTGAGAATCTTAACACCCCCCCCCCCCTCCCGCCGTACGGTGTTCTGATTTACGTAAGAAAAGAATTTAGCCGGCATCGCCTTGTAAATATATACGTGAAATTATGAATATCGGCGCACATTTTACGCCATTTATATCATCTCACTTATTACTGCACGCGCGAGAACAGGTATTGTTTGCCGTGACTAAATTTACTTGTGGCTGGTATCCGCAACACTGGTGCCGACACTGTTTTTCCGCTCATTGGCCGTTATATCCACAACGTGTTTATACACATGCATTTCGGTCGATGGGTGAATTCGGTTATCGTTGATTTATTTGCGTAGTGTGCAGCAATAAGCACGCGGCGATATTCCTTATTCAAAGTACAAGCGAGTTTTCTTGACTTGTTCTTGAGTTGTCGAAATGCGAAATAACTTTTAAACTAAGAAACTGCTGAAGAAAGATGCAGCATTTTGATTTGAGACGTGATTTTAATTAATATAAAAGATGCTTTGTGCTGCAATCTTGCAACTTCGCGAAAACATGACATTACTAATTTTACTTTTGACGGGAGAAATATTGGTTTAGAAAGTTTTCATCATTACTACAACTTGTCATTTCAACAGGCTTTTTTAAGGTTCTTTAAGTTACGCCGGGATGCAATTAACTTTATAACTGAAAATTACAACTGATTGCAAGAGGAGGTGTTTTTTAGGAAATCGCACTTTGAAGATGTGAAATATCTTGTCTCGAGGCGTAATTTAATTACTATGAAATATGCTACATGTATAATATCGCGGTCTTGAAACAGCATGATTTACTCACGGACGGAGGAAAATCCAGTTTGAAAAATTCTTTTCCCTTCACCGTTATCACAACTTGTTGTTTCTTTTCAACTTACGCTTAGCTACGACGTCTCGTTTTCGCTTCGTTCCTTACTTACGTGTCAGCGATATAGCGTAAATTTACACAAACGCGCCTTTGCTTTTTTGATCTCCGACCCGGTTAGATCTGCGGTCTCAAAAGGGAAATTTCCGCGAAAGTCGGCCTAATTGAGATACGCGAATGCCTAAGATTGAGTTCCCTATGAGACGTTTCGCAGGTTGGAAGACGTTTTCTCCGGGAAACTTTCGCGTACGTTGTCGCGAGCGAGAGAGGTAAGGTCCGGGATAAGTACCGCACGGAGGAAAGTACTCGACTCGCGGCGCGCTTAACAAGTACGTACGTTCTTAACACGACTCAGTCGTCCGACGGAGTTTTCGATTTCCCGGCAACTTCGTCGACGGAGTTTAATATATCCGCAAGTAGAATGCCGAGTTCTGTGTGCCGAGTGTGTGCGTGTTCGTTCGTTCGTTCGTTCGTTCGTTCGTTCGTTCGTTCGTTCGTTCGTTCGTTCGTTCGTTCGTTCGTTCGTTCGTAAGCAAGCAAGCGTGTGCTTTTAAAACGCGCGACGACTTGCGAGCGAACCGGATCGCGACCGGATCGATCCGTCGATCGCTGAATCGACGAGAGAGATGCGTCGAAAGGAATATTCCTGTTGAAGCCGAAGTCTGATACACACGCAGAATTAGTGGTGGGTTTAGTCAGGACTGAGTGTGACGTTGAGTTCGGAATAGACTCCTTGAATTTATCGCAAAAGAAAGAGAGAAAGTAAGAGAGAGGGAGAGAGAGAGAGAGAGAGAGAGAGAGAGAGAGAGAGCCAGCTGCACACACGTTGGAGCATCTTGCCTTCGTTGTATTTTCGTTTACGATGCAAGAACCAGATCGAGATGGAGAATTTAACGATTCGCGGGCATACAGCTCTTTCTCTCGCGCAAGCTCACCTGCCTCAAAGTTATTTCATTTTTTATGTCCCCCCCTCCCCTCCGTCTTTTCACGGCAGGGAGAGAGCGATGTACGCGTCGAAGCGGTGCGTATGAAAGCTTCGTTTAATGCCTATAACTTTTGGAACGCGTTTTCGTACATAAAGAATAATATGAGACGCGTGTCGGCTGGAACTTACATAAATTGAGGATTTTTAGTGCGAAATTTTGCGTCGTTATATATCCTGGCGGGGTGTGTATATGCACACACATGTGTGTTTCTCCTTACACTGGGGATTAAAATTTCAATAAATTTTTCCGTACAAATTCGCGAATACGACATGAATCATTCATGTTTGCTGCAGCATAGGACATGCATACTTCGCATTTTTGCCGCTAAACTTGGTTCGATCCGCGTGGAATCCTTTATCCGCAACGTACTTCGTTATTCGACGCGCAGCGAGTCGCGTCCGTGTGCGATTAATTGGACATTGGGAATGAAACAAGCCGAGTGACAAGTTCGAGAATGATTAGTCATCCGCTCGTTATCAGAGTTATAAAGCCGCCACGCTTAATCGTTCTGGAAACAAGTTTCAAGCTCCGCTTTATCGATGATAAGTCGAGGTACACGTTCGTAGCGGTTCTCTCTCTCTCTCTCTCTCTTCCCCTCTTCCTGTGCATTTCGTTAATTAACCGCACAACGACGCGAATGCAGACGAAAAGATAAATAATCGGTGTTCGGATGTGTAGATTGTTTTTATCGCATAGATAAGTTTGACGTTTCTTACACTCGAGCCGCAATGTTATAAAACGACGTTTATCGACAACGTTCATCATCGTCCTCGCTAAGACTAATTCTTATTTCTCGTGCTTGTTTTTTCTACGATTCAGTATCAGGCATGTCGCTAAAGAGACGATCGATTTTTCGCGACGATGAAATGCTTTGTAATGAAAATACCAAGAGAATAACGTAGAAGCAGATTGAACGTATTCACTAAGCGGGACATCCGTCATTTTATGTGAAAAAACCATGCAAATAAAAGACAACGATGCTGCAAATGAAAATCGAGCCATTTGCCATTGGTCGCGTATCCGAAGAATACGAGCGGGAACTATTCAGGAATGAACACAACGATTTATCGTAGCTGACCAATGCAAATTGTCGTGGCACAGCCGAGAAAACGATAACAGAATTCGCAAAGTCATCTCGTTTAGTGATGCGGTATTAACGTGCTCGGAAGTTTCATCTTTGCGTGCACTTATTGCGAACGCGTCGCTCTTACGCGAAACTTGGCTGTGAGAAAAATGCAGACACATATCGTAATCGCGCAAAAGGCATATGTATGCGCCGCGTATATCTCTACAACATTCGGAACTATTAACCTCCTTAATATCAACGATGTTTCCCGCGCGAATCGTTTCGGCAAACAACATAGTATGGGACTAACAAGTGTTCCGTTAAAACAATTCTACAAAATAATTTTGTTTACAAAAGTTTCTCATACTGACTGCAAATTGACGCGTAACCGGAGCCGGCCATTTGGAATGCATCGTTCGAATTCGCGGGCACACGTCGTGGTTTTTATTTTCACGTATCGTCGATGTCCATTCAAATTAGTTGGCGAACTTTAATTTATTCCCCACGCGGTGGAACGAACGGAACGGCATGATCTCGCAGAAATACCGACTGTAAACGGTAAACGATCTATCAACATTTGACGACGAAAGTTGTATCGCAGAACAGACATCCTCGTTTGACGACTTTGCGCAAAGTTGTTACAGCCTTGTTGTAGATTATGAAAAAATTACGCATACATCTAAATCGCTCGATTTTTACTTGCTTACGTTTATAGCGAAATTGTTGCACTTTCCCCGACACGTATCAGTAA